TTCAGATAACCCAGCCTCCTGAACTTCTTGCCGCACTCCTCACACATGTACGGTTTCTCACCTGTATGAGTCTCCATGTGTAGCCTCAGATTGGTCAGGTCACTGAACTGCTTGCTGCACTCCTCACACTTGTAAGGTTTCTCGCCGGTGTGAGTCCGCATATGAGTCTTAAGAGATTGAAGCCGACTGAACTGCTTGCCGCACTCCCCACACATGTAGCGTTTCTCTCCTGTGTGAGTCCGCATGTGTCTCTTCAGACTACTTAGCTGACTGAACTGCTTGCTGCACTCCTCACACTTGTAAGGTTTCTCGCCGGTGTGAGTCTGCATATGAGTCTTAAGAGATTGAAGCCGACTGAACTGCTTGCCGCACTGCTCACACATGTAGGGTTTCTCACCTGTGTGGGACCGCATGTGTCTCTTTAGATCATGAATCTCATTGAACTGCCCGCCGCACTCCTCATACATGTAGGGTTTCTCCCCTGTGTGAATTCGCATGTGTTTCCTCAGACTGTTCAGTTCACTGAACTTCTTGCTGCACTCCTCACACTTGTAAGGTTTCTCGCCTGTGTGAGTCCGCATGTGAGACTGCAACTTATCACGTCGAATGAACTGCCTGCTGCACTCCTCACACTTGTAGGGCTTCTCACCAGTGTGAGTCCACATATGAGACTGCAAAGTATCACGTCGACTGAACTGCCTGCTGCACTCCTCACAACTGTAGGGCTTCTCACCAGTGTGAGTCCGCATGTGTTTATTCATATTATACAGCTTACCGAACTGCCTGCTGCACTCCTCACACCTGTAGCGTCTCTCCTTTACTACTTTGGATCCCACAGAAGATTCTTCTGTCACGGTCCTCTCGACACCGTCCAAACCCTGCAAGTTACCTGTTGTCGCCATTCCTGTATGTCTGTGGATAAGTCTTACCATTAAGATGGACATTTTGTATTACGTTACAGTAAGTTTGGCTCATTGAATTTTCGTTATGTTGTGTCATAAGATTGTATTTAGTTTCCTTCTGTGTAATACTTTGCGTTCTACAGTAATTTTCTTATTAATTTGTTTATGCTTCGTACGTTACTTAACCGTTGTTTATTTATGTTTAATGTAAGTTTACGACACTGGTTTTATTTTGTTAATTAATTAATTAACTATTATCATTACTATTTGTTGTATTACTACCATTTGTCAAATGTAGACGGAAGATCCCGGACAAGCCATGAAGGCTTTTTATATTTCCCGCATATCCTCGTTATGTTCATGTGTTCATGCTAATTTTACTTCTTTATATGCAAAATAAAACAAAGACTATAAATCTATGGTAATGGTATTTGTATATTGATGCCTGACTTTTTTATATGGGCGTCACTTCTATAATAGTAATTAAAAGAAAAAGTTCAGGCATACCTTTTAGTAATTTTGGCAATGAGCTATAGCCATAACGAGTCAGTCCTATCATCGGCACCAACGAAATCAAATAAACAAAATTTCCTTCGAACTGTGCAAAATTTTGGCACAAATAATGTTTGAGACTATAATAAAAGGACATGTCTGAAAAACATGCATTCATGAAGTCATACTCAATACTCGACTTCATTTAAGTTTTATGACTAAGAAAAATAAAATGATCGAAAGGCAATACCAGAAATTAAAGGTTGACACAGCACTCTGGAGGGAGGATGTATTATATGAAGTTTTACGCCTGTTGTAGAGTTTGGCACGCCGTGCGTTGATTAGCCCCCCC